GGCTGGGGATTCGAACCCGCCACCTTAGGTGTATGTGGCTGGCGCCTTAGCCACTTGAGCCACAGGCGCCGAGCCAATAGATTTTTTGATATAAGTTCCAGTGTAGCTTTCCAGGTAAGTACCTGTTCCCAGCTTTTATCATCCAAGCCTGCTCTCAAATGAAAATGGGAAAGCCCTTAGTTTAAATTCGTAAACATTACCATATATTTTCTGAATGCCTTCAATATCATCTTGTGAAAGTTTGAAATTGTTGACATCTCTACTTCCGTAGACTGGATACATCACGGCTTTAGGGTCAGAGGAATGGCCCAGACCCAAAGAATGGCCAAATTCATGGGTTGCAGTAACCAGGAAGTTGATACCTACAATCAAATAGGTGACATACGGTGACCATAAAAAGAACTGTATAAGTTTTACAGTGTTACATATAATACCATAATAAAAAATAAAGTACAAAAATACTCTACTCTCAGTCCTGTGTAGTTTACTTATTTCTAGGCTTTCAAAAAAGGGAAGGGGTTTTCCATCTGAGTCCTAACCGGTGTGTGCGCATGCACAGAGGATCCCAAAGCTTAGTGGGAACTAAGCAGGGGGAGGGAGGGGAGTGGCAGAAACCTGCCCAAAAGGTACGATGAATGTGATCTGGGCATTGGGGGCACTTACAGCTGTGATGAAGTGGTACAAAAGTGGTCTATGTGACCAAAAGCATTTGTACCCCCTTAATACTTTGAAATTAAAAAAAATAGCGGTGCTTTAGGGTGGTGCCTCTGGCTCAAGGAGTAGTGTAGCCCCATATGCCAAGGGTGGTGGGTTCAAACCCAGCCCCAGCCAAAAAACTGCAAAAAAAAAGCAGTGCTTTAATTCCATTGCCATTTATGCTTATTAAAAAAATGCAATGTTTTTCCCTGCTTTTGCTTCTTTAGCTCCAGCAACAATATTCTATAGTAGAAAGCAAAGTTTTTTTTTTTTTTTTTGAGACAGAGCCTCAAGCTGTACCCCTGGGTAGAGTGCTGTGGCATCACAGCTCACAGCAATCTCCAACTCCTGGGCTCAAGCAATTCTCCTGCCTCTGCCTCCCAAGTAGCTGCTGGGACTATAGGCGCCAGACACAACACCTGGCTATTTTTTGGTTGCAGCTGTCATTGTTGTTTGGCAGGTCCAGTCTGGATTTGAACCTGCCAGCTCAGGTAGGTGTATGTGGCTGGGGTCTTAGCTGCTTGAGCCACCCGCACTGAGCTGAAAGTAAAGGTTTTAAAAGCAGAAAGATCTAGGTTGGACGTGGAACTCTCCTACTTACTGGCTGGTCAACTCTGGATAAGTTAATTGATGTTGCTGAGTCTCAGTTGCTTGTTTGTTAAATGGAGACAATCATTCCTACCCTGTACATCTGCCATGATAATTAGTTCCCTGCTATCTGGAAAGTCATGGTGATTCAATAAATTATAGTGACTTTGACTGTGGGCAGAAAGCTGAGACTGAAAGGCAGGATCGCCAGGCAGTGCTGGGCTCTGATTCTGATCGTGAGTCATTAAGTTGTATTATGTATAGCCTTTTGTCTCCCTCAGACTCTGTAGAAGGCTTTCCAAGCAGGGGAAAGGTGAGTTTGAGAAGTGGCCAGAGCTCCAGCTGTACTGTTCTAGAGACAGAAGCTGCCTTAATCCACCCTGAGTGGGAAGAAAGGAGAATGAAACAGACACGCGAGATGTGACAGGGAGGTGGCATCTCAGTTGTACATAGGTCAGATTTTCACAGCAAGGCGTGATAATTTGAATTGCAGTGAATTCTCTCTACCAAATCTAAGTACCAAGTTCCCTTTCAAGGCCTTTTTTTTTTTTTCAAATCATCTCCAACGAGGGTTATTTATGCCAGAGTCTCTCTCCATTAGTTCTCTGAGGTCTCCATAATCTCCTACTTTGTCAAGTGATGACTATGATGGCCGGGTCGTGGAGTGAGTTCTTTCTGAGAAATAATGAATAATCCCAGCATTGTATAGAATTTTTTTTTTTTTTTTGAGACAGTCTCACTTTTTTGCCCTGGTAGAGTGGTGTGGGTGGCATCATAGCTCACAGCAACCTCAAACTTTTGGGCTCAAGTGATTCTCTTACTTCAGCCTCCCATGTAGCTGGGACTACAGGTGCTCACCCCAATGCCTGGCTAATTTTTCTATTTTTAGTAGGGATGGGGGGTCTTGCTCCTGCTCAGGCTGGTCCCAAACGCCTGTACTAAAGCAATCCACCCACCTTAGCCTCCCAGAGTGCTTGGATTACAGGCCTGAGCCTCTGTACTCTGTCTGTATGTAATTCTTTTTTTTTGAGACAGGAGCCTCAAGCTGTCCCCCTGGGTAGAGTGCCATGGGATTTCAGCTCACAGCAACCTCCGACTCCTGGGCCCAAGAGAGTCTCCTGCCTCAGCCTCCCAAGTAGCTGAGACCACAGGCGCCCGCCACAACGCCTGGCTATTTAATGGTTGCAGCCGTCATTGTTGTCTGGCGGGCCCAGGCTGGATCCGAACCCGCCACGTTGGGTGTACATGGCTGGCGCCTTAGTCACTTGAGCCACAGGTGCCAAGCCCTGTATATAATTCTTAACTGTCATAGTCTCTGTTCCTCTTTCTCCTCCATTTGAGACATTATTTGGGGGAACTATGAAGAAACATTTATAGTTTATTGAATTACTAATATTCTAAGACTGTATAAGCACTCTCTAATTTAAACAAATCCCTGGGGTGGAAACTATTTATATTCCCATTTTACAGATGAGAAAACTGAGGCTCAGGTAAGTCAAATAACTTGCCCAAGAACACACAGTAAGTAATTGGTAGAGGTAGAGCAACTTGAACCCCACGCTGCTTGTCTCTGCAGCCTGGGCTTCTGTCTTTTGTACATGTAGCATTATGAATGCATTTAAAGCATATAGTACAAGAGTTGGCATCTAGCAAGAGCTCAATACTTATTATAATTTAAAATAAATATTAAAGTTACCATAAATTCAGATTGTACAAAGGATGTGGAGCAGAGGAGATGGGGTGTCATACCTATCCTGCTGCCATCAGTCCAGGTTTCATCGTCATCAAAGTGAGCATCTCCTCCGAGGCCTGGCCCGGGTTCAAAGGCATGAGCCAGTGTGTTTCCTGGTCCATCAAATGGGTAATAGTCCCCATGAGCTAAAAGAAAACAGTGACTCATTTTTTTCTCCAGTCATTTTATCTTTTTTTTTTTTTTTTTGAGACAGAGCCTCAAGCTGTCCCCCTGGGTAGAGTGCCGTGGCATTACAGCTCACAGCAACCTCCAACTCCTGGGCTCAAGCGAGTCTCCTGCCTCAGCCTCCCAAGTAGCTGGGACCACAGGCGCCCGCCACAACGCCCGGCTATTTTTTGGTTGCAGCCCTCATTGTTGTTTGGCGGGTCCGGGCTGGGGATTCGAACCCGCCACCTTAGGTGTACGTGGCTGGCGCCTTAGCCGGTTGAGCTATAGGTGCCGAGCCCATTTTATCTTTTCAGTGTATGTGATTGCTGAGCTGGAAGGAGCAGCCTTGTCCGCATGGCTGGCACGGGCAGTGCGAGGGGGCAGCGGCACGCACAGGCTGGTTTGGGGGCTTACTTGCTATAGGCACTTTTTCTTTCACTGCTTGTCACTGATAACAACCATATATTGAAGGCTTCCTGGATAAGTGACTTTGAATCCATTTGTGTCTAACTTCAGGTTGCATTTAAGCTCTTGTTAGATTTGACCACTTTGCTTGGCCCAGTGTTGGTGGGAAGGCGTATGAATGTGAGTACCGCCTTAAGCAGGTAATTTGTGTACCATTTCTCACATTTTTTCCCCTTAAAAATCTAGCTTATTCTCTGTGGGCATAGTAGGCAGTCTCTTAGAGAGCCACACTAGAGTCTCTTAAAACTGCTCCTGACAGTTTTTAAATTTGTGATGCAGAGCTATTTATCTTCAAGTTGTCAGGTCACACCCAGTTTATTCTAATCCTTAAGAAACTTGTAGTGAAGTGACAAGGGCTTTCCATAACATTTTCTTCAAGGACTGTCAACATTGTGGATTGAAGTCACAGTCCTTGGGTAGTTCAACATTAGAACAGACCAAAATGGGCAATGTTTTTCTCTAAATTTGCCCCATGAAACACTAACACCTAAGAGTAGTTTATGTTTATGAGTTATATCTCTTTAAGTCCTTTGATACAAGAGTCTCCATTTTCTACTTTCTTGCTATATGAAGGGCATTTGCTGCAGGTATAGGCTTTACCCCACTTCTTGGGGGCCTTTGGAAGCCATAAGCCCTTCTGTTGGCTTAACATTGATGTTAGACACATTTTAAACACACATATATCTGCATCCATCTATCTATCTATCTACTATCTGTCTATCTACTATCTATCTATCTACTATCTATCTATCTGTCTGTCTACTATCTATCTGTCTATCTACTATCTATCTTCTATCTATCTATCTACTATCTATCTATCTGTCTACTATCTATCTATCTATGGTCATGTGCTACATAATGACCTTTCTGTCGACCACAGACCACACGTACAGTGGTGGTCCCATGAGATTATAATGGAGCTGAAAAATCCTATTACATAGTGATGTTGTAGTCATGGTAATGTCATAGCACAATGCATTACATTTTCTGTTCTTTTTTTTTTTTTCCTTTCTTTCTTTTTCTTTTTTTGAGACAGATTCTCATTCTGTCACCCTAGGTAGCATACCAGAGCATCATAGTTCACAGCAACCTCAAACTCTTGGGCTTAAATGATCCTCTTGCCTCAGCCTCCTGAGTAGCTGGGACTGCAGACAGGCACCTGACACAATGCCCTGCTATTTTTAGAGAGGGGTTCTGGCTCTTGCTCAGGCTGGTCTCGAACTCCTGAGCTTAAGCAATCCACCAGTTGGCCTCTCAGAGTGCTAGAATTAGAGGCGTGAGTCACTGCGCCTGTCCGTAACCATTACGTTTTCAGTGGTTAAATATATTTAGATACACAAACACCATTGTGTTAGAACTGCCTAAATATTCAGTACAGTAACATGCTGTTCAGGTTTGTAGCCCGGGAGCAATATGCTGGATCATGCAGCCTGGGTGTGTATCAGGCTATCCTATTATCCAGGTTTGTTTACATATACACTATGTTGCTCATGCAGTGAGAAAATTGCCTAAGGATGCATTTCTCAGAATGTGCCCCCCAAGCATGTAGTGAGGCATGGCTACATATATATGTATAAGTAATTGTTCCTGCTGCAAAACAGGCATCAGCCAACATTTTCTAAAAACGGTCAGGTAACAAGTATTTAAGGATTGTCAATTTGATGGTTTCTGCCCCAAAGCAATCATAGATAGTAGACAGATAAAGAAGCATGGCTGTATTCCAGGAAAATTTTATTTGTAAAAACAGTTGGTGGGCTGGATTTGATTCATGCCAACTCCTACTATAAAAAGTGGTCCCAAATAAATAGGTTATAAAAGTTATAATAATGTTGCTAAATATCTATCTATTTATCTCTCCTTAAGTTTGAGGTCTTTTGGAGAAGAGAGCACTGATATAAACAATGAAGTAGCACCAGGAGTAGCCTACAGAGCACTTTCTCACCTCCTCTTGCAAAGCCAATCATGATGTCAGCAGTTCCCCACCTCACTCTCTTGAAGAGCAGTGGAATATGTCTGCCCCACATCTTTAAGGCCTTTTCCACGAATCGATCCACTATGATAGATGGTAAATCTCGAGTGTATGATACAACCCTAGTAGCAAACAAGAAAACAATATGTAACCTTTCAAGGAAAAGGCTTTAGTGTTTTTCCCAAAATGAACCAAAGTAAAGCTATCTTGTAGGTGACTGACTTGGTGCCCATAGCTCAGTGAGTAGGGTGCCAGCCACATACACCGAGGCTGGCAGGTTTGAATCCAGCCTGGGCCAGCTAAACAACAATGACAACTGCAACCCAAAAATAGCTGGGTGTTGTGGTGGATGCCTGTAGAGGCCGAGGCAAGAGGATCACTTAAGCCCAAGAGTTTGAGGTTGCTGTGAGCTGTGACTCCATGGCACTCTACCGAGGGTGACATAGCGAGACTCTGTCTCGAAAACAAAAAACTAACCTGTAGGTGACTATTTTGGAAGTCCATTTTGACTTTTTTGGGAATAGTGAGTATTCTGCAACATCTGGCACTCCGCATCTGGGTCTCTGCATTGTTTCTATGACGCGGGGACTTAGTACTCCAGTTGTGGGCAGGCCAAAGAACTTCTGCATCTGCTTCAGCTTGGCTTCTAAATCGCTGGCACTTTTGGTTTGCGAGTCATAGGAATAAAATCTCTTGAGATAGTCCTATTAAAGAAAGAGTAGTTAATTTGTAGGGCTTGTTGTTTATTGTCTTCTTTTATCTTAGAAATCTACATATCTTTTGCCTTTGGTTCCTGTGGATTCAAATAGTGATTTGAAGACAGAATAATTTCATAGTCACTGCATAAAATAAGAACATTTAATACCAATAATGAAACACTGGCATGCCATGTCATGGGCGGAAGAGGAGACTCTCAATTTCTCTTTTATCTCATTGAGTGTTCTGAGGAGAAGTACACTGCACACTTTATAAAGCCTCGACTTCTTTGTCAGAGCAATCAGGAGGTGTGTCCCAGTGTGTCCTGGAGGGCACAGCTGAGACCGTCCCTCAGCAGGGCCTCTCGGTCAGATCTGAAGCCAGTGAGGCCCATCTGAGGTCTGCTGAGATGTGGTTCCACCAAAAGGAGAAAGGATCTTAATGGTTTAGTTCTGGGAAAGAACATTAGGAGATTTAGTAGCTTAATTACTTTACTTTTATTGTTCATGTGAAGAAATCCAAGCTCATAGCAACTGAATGACGTTCCTCGTTCACACATGACGTTAGTGGTAGAAGGAGACCTGAATTTGCGGACTGCAGGTCCACTTTCTACTGTGACGTCCCTGGGAAAACCCACTCTGGGAAGCTACAGAAGAATATAAGTCTCCCAGATCTCTGCCAGGCATAACTGGGCCCCTGGGAATTTCTTAAAGAAATTCTGGCCATGAGGATGGATATTCAGTAGTCTAAACAATAGAAAGTGAATAAATTAGCACAGGTAGCAACCTCGTAAGAACATGTTTTTTTTTTTTTTGGCTGGGGCTGGGTTGAACCTGCCACCTCCAGCATATGGGGCTGGCGCCCTACTCCTTTGAGCCACCTGAGAACATGTTTTAAGCACTTCCTGGTGTGAGGTACTTATCTCATTTAAACTTTATAACCATCCCGTGAAGTAGGTATGGCATTGTTATTCCTACTTTATATATCACAAAACACAGCTCGGAAAAGTGAAGTAAGTTGCACAAGGTCACCTGTGAGTGGCTGAAGGAGCCAGTGTTTGAACTCAAGTGTTCTGACTTCATATGATAATAACATACAAAGTTCTATAGCACACGACAGTATTGAAGTTGAAATGATTTAAAGATTAGCGCACTAATTTGCCGTCTATTTTGGAGTACATGACGAAAAGTCCTTGTCTCGGAACATTGCAGGAGTGCACACTTTTTGTAAGTAATCTTATTAATATCGAACCCTTTCTTCTTGTTACCAAGGATGGTTTTTCATTAAATACAACAAATACTTACTGTTCACCCATGACAATTAGGAAGACATCACTTATTTAAAAACAAATGACTCGTTTTATCTTTCCCAGAGCTACAGACTTTACCAAGACACCTCTGGAAGAGATGCTGCATTCTGCCCCTTTTAAAATCTCCCTCATTTCTCTCTAGCAACCTAAGCAAAGGAACAAATATACATGCAAAGTTCTCCTTCTGGAAAATGCATTCAGTGGAACTACCTAAAATTACTCTTGTAGGGGTAAAAAACAGTCAAGCTTAATAATTTCATATAGTTCAATCTAACATATTACTGGAACTTTAAGGTTAAGGTAAAGTGAAATAAAACTTAGAGTTTCTTATGCTTAAAGATTTAATTTGTAAATAATACTTAGGAGTATTTTTTATAATAATCATTTAATTATTTTACAAATAATAATTCTTTAAACCTACTAGACTGCTTATTGCATAGTATATTGGAAAGAACTTGATTTTTCAGCCATAAACACTTGTCTTTGATTCTTAACTCCCCCATTAAAAAGAATGCGAATCAACTTGATTTTGGTCTTTCTTTTTCCCAGGGTAGAGCTAAGGATTAAATGACAATGTATGTGGAAGTATTTTACAATCACTAATTATTACATATTTGTTAGTTGGTATTGTGATCACCTCGTTTATTTGTCGGATTACCCTGAGGCATAAAACATATGGTATTGTGGTTTCCACTAGACACATGAGAAAACAAAGTCATTGGCGTCTGGGATGGTTGTTAACGTACACCCATGTTCTCTGACTTCCAATCTCTCCATTATAAGTAGTGTTAAGAAGCAACGCTGTGTGCACTTAAATCTACTAAGGGTAGACTATAAGTATCTTAACACAATAACTATGGCTGTGTTAACCAGTTTGACAAAAGTATTTCAAATTGTATATACAACAAGCATAGGGTACCTCATAATTGCATTAATGTACACAGCTATGATTTAATAAAAAAAAACTCATAGCTTTCATGGGAAAGCTGTAACCCAATTATAGCCCAAGAATATGGGGGAAGGGGAGAGGAGGGGAAGGGAGGGGGGAGGATGGGTGGAGGGAGGGTGATTGGTGGGTACATGTGAATCTTTCTAAATGAAGAATATAAATGTCTTGACACAATAACTAAGAAAATGACATGAAGGCTATGTTAACCAGTTGGATGAAAATATTTCAAATTGTATATAAAAATAGCACACTGTACCCCATGACAGTATTAATGTACACAGGTATGATTTAATAAAAAAAATCTCAGGTGACAACAAATAATAATAACCTAAATTTATGGAGTATAAACAATGTTTCAGGTTCTGTGTTAAAAGTTTTACAACACCTCCATTTGTTGGTACCATCACTATCTCCACCTTTCAAACTAGAAACCTGAAACTCCGAGTTTAATGATATTCTTAAGTCCATCTATATAGAGGATGGAGGAATTGAAACCTACACTCAGTTTGAGCAGGCTCTACAATATGCTACTTGATGAGACCATGTATTGCTTTTGTGATTAGAAAAATTAAGTTATCCCCCTCCCCCTCATTGCAATACTAACATGGAAGGAGAAATAGTTGAAAAGCACATTTCCTGATGCTGAGGTGGGATTGTGGGGCCCTGGGCAGGTGGGCTGCGACATACCTGAGCCTGTTTCCACTGCTGCTCGGTCGTGCCTCCCGCCTCCCGGGGCAGCGGCAGGGCCAGGCTGCTGGGCAGCAGACACACGGCACACAGCAGGGCGAGGTGCATAGCTGCCAGCCAGGGGGATTGTTTCCAGACCTGGGGCTGGTTTGGCGTTTTCTGATAGAGTCTGGAGAAATTTATATAGCTTCTCAGCCTTGAATGTGGAAATAGGTGACTCATTGAGTGTTTTCATTCTTTTTAGTGTCTACAGAGCTTTGAAAGTGTGTGTTATTTTTATTAATGAAAACGAGGAAGTATTATGCCCTCCTTGGCAGGAGGCACACAATGTATTTGTCTTTCAAAGGATTTTTTTTTCTTGTCTGCTGTATAAACTGAATTTATGGGAAGACTTTTTTTTTTTTTTTTTTGAGACAGAGCCTCAAGCTGTCCCCCTGGGTAGAGTGCTGTGGCATCACAGCTCACAGCAACCTCCAACTCCTGGGCTTAAGCGAGTCTCCTGCCTCAGCCTCCCAAGTAGCTGGGACTACAGGTGCCCACCACAACACCTGGCTATTTTTTTGGTTGCAGCTGTCATTGTTGTTTGGCAGGTCCAGGCTGGATTCGAACCCACCACCTTAGGTGTACGGTGGCTGGCGCCTTAGCCACTTGAGCCTATGGGAAGACTTTTTTTTTGCTAGTATCAGATTATTACTCACATAGATCTTCTCTTCAGGAGAGCATTACTCAGAGCATTTTTGTACTATGTATCTTAAAAGGATTTAAAGAAATTTAAAGGTATGGAAAAGTGCATAAAACGTACAAAGAATCAAATACTAATTAAGCAAATACTGTAACAGTCGCCAAAGTGAAAAAATAGGCCATCACCAAAGTCCCACTGTTCTTTATAGAGGGAAAGATGGCAGGAGGAGGGTGACAATACCTGCTGTGACTTGGTTAGCAGTTGCAGTAGAGCTGGGTTCCACCTCTTCACCTTCCAGGCCCCTTAGCGAAGCAGTGGGAATTTCTTTCTTTGGGTCTTCTTCTTTTTTTTTTTTTGGCCGGGGCTGGGTTTGAACCCTCCACCTCTGGCATTAGGGGGCTGGCGTCTTACCCTTTTGAGCCACAGGCGCCGCCCAGCTTTGGGTCTTCTTTTAATTAGTTTATTTCTTTTCTTAATGATCAACAGTGCTCCTAATTCCTCTTGAATTATGTGAAAAAAATGCCAGACTCCATAGTAATGCATTTCTCCAAAGCTCAGAAATCGTTGATTCTGATCTTTTTCTTCCATAACTCTGGCCCTGGCCACTACCCACTGGCAGCAGCCAGTGAACACTGTGTTTGTCCTCAACACAAGTAATGCTTATTCTGTCCATAGAAAGGAGGACCCACGATCTGTAGATTCTAGTCCGACTACTTGATTTTTACCAAAGATGAAACTGAGGCCATAGATTACAGATTAATGTGCTTCCCTGATGTCACCCAGCTAGCTGATGGTAGTCAGGGCTTCCAGTCTGGTGTCTCTCCATCACACCACACCACCTATTTATTTGTAGTAGGTCTGAGTCCTTTGTTATATCGTATGTTTCTTGGGAAAGCAGCATGGCATGACTTTGATCCTAATCATCACAGGAAACACCCCAAAACCATTGAGCTGAAAAATTCAATTATTCAGATATCTCTTAAATTATCTGGTGCATTGTATATCACCACAGGTCACATTTTCAGATCAATTAATTTAAACTTGCTCTCTTTACAGAAATACTTTGATTCTGCTTGGTCACAATTCAAGTATACTTGAGTACTTGGTAATCTTTTTTTTGAGACAGTCTCTCTTTGTTACCCTCAGAAGAATGCCATGGTATCATAGCTCACAGCCACTTCAGACTCTTGGGCTCAAGCCTCCTGAGTAGCTGGGACTACAGTCACCTATCACAACACCCAGCTATTTTTAGAAACGGGGTGTCACTCTTGCTCAGGCTGGTCTCAAACTCCAGAGCTTAAGTGATGTACCCACCTCGGCTTCCCAGAGTGCCAAGATTACAGGTGTGAGCCACTGCACCCAGCTCCGTACTTGATATTCTTAGTCTATGGCATATGACAGGTACACAATAAATGTTTGTAGAATAAATGAATATTTATGGCTTTACTTGGATCAGCTGAAACTGAAGTTATATATGAGGTTTTTAGTAATATTTGTACTGAATTAAAATCAAAAGGCATTCCCTGAAGTGAATGAGAAGACAAACTACAAATTTGGTGAAAATATCTGCAAAGACGCGTCTGGTGAAGGACTGTTACCTAAAATATACAGAGTACTCTTAAGACTCAACAATAGGAAACCAGGAGATGAAATCAGTCTCTTATGATCATCTGATCTTTGGTAAACCAAACAAAAGCATGACTGGGGAAAATAATCCTTATTCAACAAATGGTGCTGGGAGAACTGGATAACCACATGTGAAAGGCTGACACCGGACCTGAACCTCTTGCCACTTATAAAAATTGACTCAAGGCTCAGTGCCTGTAGCTCGGTGGCTAGGGGTCCAGTCACATACATGAGATATGGCGGGTTCAAATCCAGCCCAGGCCTGCCAAACAACAATGACAACTACAACCAACAAATAGCTGCATGTTGTGGCAGGCGCCTGTAGTCCCAGCTACTTGGGAGGCTGAGGTAAGAGAATCACTTAAGCCCAAGAGTTTGAGGTTGCTGTAAGCTGTGACACCATGGCACTCTACCCAGGGTGACAGCTTGAAACTCTGTCAAAAAAAAAAAATTATTCAAGATGGATAAAAGACTTAAATCTAAGACTAAGTCATAAAAATCCTAGAAGAAAATGTGGGAAAAATTCTTATGGATGTTGGTCTGGGGAAAGATTTTATAAAGAAGACTTTGGTGGCAAACGCAACAACAACAAAAATAAACAAATGGGATTTAATTAAGCTGAAAAACTTCTGCACAGCTAAGCACACAACAATCAAAGAAAACAGACAACCTTCAGAATGGGAAAAGATATTTGTATGTTATAAATCAGACAAAGGGTTGATAACGAGAAGCTACCGAGAACTCAAATTAATCAACAACAAAAAAAGAGCAATTAACCTCATCTATCACTGGGCAAGCGACATAAACAGAATCTTCTCTGAAAAAGACAGACAAATGGCTAACAAACATATGAAAATATGCTCATTATCCCTAATCATCAGAGAAATGCAAGTCAAAACCACTCTGAGATATCACCTACCCCAGTGATAATAACCCACATCACAAAATCCCGACGCTACAGGTGCTGGCGTGGATGTGCAGAGAGGGGAACAGATTTACACTGTTGGTGGGACTGCAAACTTAGACACTCTTATACTTTTCTATGGAAAGAAGTGTGGAGAATCCTCAAAGAACTCAAATTAGACGTTCCATTCGATCCTGCGATCACCTACTGGGCATCTACCCAGAAGAAAAAAATTCTTACAACATTTGCACTGGATAGTTTATCACAGATCTACTTACAATCACCAAGATGTGGAAACAACCTAAATGCTCATCAGTCCAGGAATGGATTAATAACCTGCGGTATATGTATACCATGGAATATTCAGCCACAAAAAAGATAGAGATCATACATCTTTTGTATTAACCTGGATGGAGTTGAAACACGTTCTTTTTAATAAAGTATCACAAGAATGGAAAAACAAGCATCCAATTCACTCAATAATCATATGAAGCCAGTAGATGATCTAATACACGCCCACATAACAGAAAAACTCCATTCAATCCAAGATGGGGGGGAGAGGGAGGAGGAAGCGGAGGGGAGGGAGGGGGATTGGTGTGCTCCCACTTCATGGGTACAGTGCCAGGGTATATGGTACACTTTCTAGGGGTGGGACACGACTATGACAAGGACTCTACCTAACAAATGCAAATGTTGTAATCTAATTTTTTGTATCCTCAAATTAACCTGAAAAAGAAAAAAGACTCAAGAATAGAACACAAATAATCTCACTAAGAAATGGGCCAAATACCTTAGCAGAAACCTCACTGGAGACGATGCACGGAAGGTGAATAAGTCTGTGAACAGATGCTCCACATCATACGTCATCAGCAAATGCGAATCAAAATGACCGGGAGGTGGCAATGCCTGCTGAGTCAATGGCCAGAGTTAGAGCACTGACGATACCAAGGCAGAATGTGCTAGCGGAGATGCAGAATTAAACACGCTCTTATCGTATGATTCCCAACTCGGTATCTACCCAAAGAAGATGAAAATTGGCTCGGCGCCTATAGCTCAACCGGCTATGGCGCCAGCCACATACACCTAAGGTGGCGGGTTCGAATCCCCAGCCCGGACC